CTGGTTTCTTTGAGATGTATTTGTTCTCACAAGAATATAAGCTGTCTTAAAGCAGATCTTCATAAAAAATCAATTTTGTTTACTTCTTAAACTCAAGGGCCTGGAATAACAGCAGGCACTAAAATCATGGATACATAACTCACTTTTCAGTTGCATGTATATGGACAGATCTAGGTAGTGTGGGACCCACTTACTGGAGTTCATTTTGGTAAAGGGCATACAGTTCTAGAATCTTGTTTTTGTTACAGTCCAAAGCTCTATAATTGTTGCATAGCTGCATAAACCATTCTCTGAACATGTTCAGTCTGGGTCATTGGCCTATGGAGTCATGGTATCCCACATAAAGAGACTAAAGGCACTTGGTGTCAACCTTGATGACTTGAGTTTAACCCCTAAGGCACATATAGTAGAAAGAAATGACTCACTCCCTCAGATTTTCTTTCATGCACAGGGAACCAATACAGATATAGAGAACCAATACTACCCTCATTGAACAATGAAACAAAGATTAATTTATTCTTCAACAACCTCCAAAGTCTTTGGGACACTCACTACGTATATACTGAGGGTCCACCATGGATGTTGCTTCTGAAGCAAACAAGATAGAAGCCAACATTGAGTTACCAGTTAATCTTTCAAGGAGTAAATGTAAAACCTGTAACATCCCAACCATGTTTCCAGGTCCATTTAAAATGTTTGGATATGGGACTAGAGAGAAGGCTCAGCTGTCAAGAGAGCTAACTGTCCTTGAAGAGGACCAGCATTTGATTCCTTATAACTATTAACAGCTCACAGTGGCCTATAACCCCAGCTCTAGGGGAACCAGATGCTTCTAGCCTCCATAGGCATTAGCACTCATGTACACACCCATATGTGTATGTATGCACACACATATACATATACATAATTGATTATAAATAATAAAAAATAAATCTCGGGAGGAAGGAGGGAGGAAGAGAAAGGAGGAAGAAACTAAGCTTCTTGTGTGGAACTCCCTGCTCAGAACCACAGACAGCACTTCTGGTCCTAAATTGGGGAAAAAAGTGGATGGGTGCTGAGCAAAGTTTGGAAACTGATCTGTTGTTCTAATTATACTTTTAATAAAGGGACCCAAAGGGAAATGTCCATGGTATAGCCTATTGATGGGGGAGAGTAGGAATGGAGGGTGTTCAAAAATTCTGTGCAAATTGAAGTTTGAACAAAACAAGATTTGGCTATGCAAAGAGGAGAGAATTTCAGAAAGCATGTTGTTTTTTGTAAAAATGACATTATGAGAAGGGTTAGGGCATATAGAAAGAGAAGTGGTTGTCTGTAAATATAAATGTCAAGAAGGAAAGGCAGAGATCAGCAGTATCATCACATGACTTCAGTGGGATGGCTATTTTAATGTTCTGTCCCTGGATCTCTCATGAGGCTCCAGTCATCCCAAAGCAGGGCTGAGAAATATTTGGTTCCCAGTTAACACATGTAGTTACTGTCAGAAATATCTCTCTCTCCCTCTCTCTCTCTCTCTCTCTCTCTCTCTCTCTCTCTCTCTCTCTCTCTCTCTCT